TAACTATATTTAATTAATTGATAATTGATCCATTCATGGTTCTTGAATTGGATTCGATCTCTAGATTATCAATCTTTAAACATGGATATACTTGATTAAAAGTCGGATTTGTTGAATAATTTAAAGATTATTATATTAAATGCCGAATATTTATTTAATGAATTGATAATTTTGAGTTGACACTATTTACCGAAATGGGATATATAGATTCTGACGAATTTCTTCGCTTTATTATTTTTAGACATATATACGTAGTACAGTAGTAATAGTATTTTGATGCTTTATCAGTTTCATATTAAAGTATTAATTTTAAAAGACATGCCATGGTGTCATGCTACTTATGGTGTGCCAATAATCCTCGTGCTAATAAACTCTAATCATAGCACTATAGAGTAGTTGCTAAATTTTAGTCGATCAAAATTTGGCTGTGCGACTAATCTAACATCGATACGTATTGTATATTACTTCATCTTGTCATATTCATTATAATGTGACATTCTCGTATTTAAATTCATAAAAATATTGAGTTTCATTTCACCTCTGTCGTACAAATTTTTTACACTTTAAATAGAATGTAAATAACTTTTATGTTCACCGACTAATTTAATGTGTATGAAATGCTTGTATGTAACGGCAAATAACAACATATTCATCAGTTTTCTGGTTTGGAGTAACTGCGTCACGTAGTTGCTTAATTATAATATTATACGTAATATTATAGTGTTATAGCATTATGGTATAGCGAATTGTGTTATTATGGCAATTAGGTGCTATGCCATAACGATAACTAATTCTACCATTGCTGCATTGGTAAAATGCCGTAATTGCCGTAATTCAGTAATTCTACCACCAACCTGAAACTTATAATAGTAAATCATTATATGCAGCTTCAGGTTTTCACTCTAACGCACTATATATATACTTTATAAATAATTTATCTATATACGGAAACGTGCAAACTATAACCTTATCTTTATCGCTATGAATATTTAGTAGTCCTATATATAGATTGAATATTCTACGCATAAAACTGAGTATCGTTAAAAATATACTGCATTCGTATTTTTCCTTTTGTTGTGTGTAGATATTGGTATATATTGAAATGATCGATAAAAAAATTATTGTTTCTAAACAGAAAAAAAAAAAAAGAAATCATTTTGAAATTTATTTTGATTCTCGATAATATAAGACTTTACGTATAGGCGAATATAACCCAATAGAAAAAATGGCTATTCAAAAGATTTTCGAATCTATTAGTATCACAAACTATATCAACATATTTATCCTAATTCTTGCTACTTATATCTTTAACTTTTATTACAAATATTTTACTCGTCCCAATCCGCTCCCTGGTCCGTTACCTTTACCATTTATTGGTAACATTCATAACGTCGGCTACAATGTAGGTTTGTTTTATGAACAATGCCAACAGAAATATGGAGATATTTGTGAAGTGATGCTTGAACATAGATGCATCATTCTTTCACGGGTAGAAGACATCGAAAAATTGTTCGCTCCTGGGACATTTTTCAAAAAGATTCCATACTCTGAAGGGTTAGATGAAATGGGTGTCTACGGACGTGGGATTGCCTTCAATGGAGATCCTGAGAGTTGGAAATTTAATAGACAGTTCTTTACTCAGGCATTAATTGCACCTAGGTTTATGGAAACAGCGGTAAAGTCATCAAATAATTTGTATGAAGAACTAAGTGGATATTGGCAGTCTCTTGGAAAACAAAAGACATCAAATAATAATGATAATTGGGTGTTGGAAACAAATCTTACTCCATGGTTTTATGGATACGCTAATGAAATTATTTCAATTCTCGTTACCGGAGACCGTATCTATTCAATTGCATCTTATTATAACACGCAAAGCACGATCAAATCTAAACATCCTGATGCACTAATCGAGGACGGAGACAAATTCGTTAAAGCACTCTTAAAATATTTAAAGGGTTTCTATTTCTTCGAATTCACTAGTTCATTCATTAGACATTATGTTCCAATAATTAGAAATAAAACAAACGATTTGTTAAAAAATCGTGATTACATATTCGGAAAATTGAATCAGATGATTAAAAAGAGAAGAAAAGAGATTGAAGAAATGCCAGCGGGTGCTGAAATGAAAGTTGATATGCTAACTTCATTAATTACCGCAAATACTACGAGAAATATTGCTAATGTGAAAACAGAAGACGGACCTATAACGGATGAAGTGATCAGGGGTAATTTATTAGATGCTTTCCTGGCAGGAACAGATGTCGTAAGTATTAGTTTATGTTAAAATTAATATTTAATAATTCTATTTGTTATTTACTTATTTATTAACATCTATTTGTTTAAATGTTAGGTTGCAAACTCATTCTGCATCATAACCTATTATCTTTGTAAATATCCACACGTAAAACAAAAAATGCTTTCAGAGATTGACACTATCTTTCCTAAATCATCTGATAAATTTTACATATCATATGATGATCTCGCAAATCTAAAATATTGTGAAGCCATAACTAAAGAAGCTAATCGTATGAAAACAGTAACAACTTTTATAATGCGCTGCACTGTTGAAGAGTGTGAAATTGCAGGATTCAAATGGCCTGCTGGTACACAGTTTCATATGAATTTTTTAGGGTCAGATCACAACCCTAAGGTTTGGCCTAATCCAGAAGTTTTCGATCCGGATAGGTTTTATGATGATCAAGATGGTCAAAATAAACGTCTTTCTTTAATGTTTGGTGGAGGTCAACGACTTTGTCCTGGAAGGAAATTGGCAATGACTGAACTGCTCATATTAATGGCATCAGTATATAAAAATTATAACATTGAGTTAGTGGATAAGAATGGGCCATTAAAATATCATGCTGGAGTTACTACAATCTGTCAAGAGTTGAAAGTTAGAATTTCGCCCAGAATTTAACTTCAATGAATTTCTGGAGATTTTATTATTTTTTTATTATGCAAGTAGCTTCACCATTGTTATCATTTAGATTTCCAATATTGTTATAATTTATATTTTTTGAATATTACTGAGTTAGAAACTGATCTTACGAACGAAAACTTTGTGATATGTAATTTTTCAACGTTAATTAAATAAAATATGACATTCTTAAATTAAACGACTTTAAAAGTAAATTAAATATAAAATAAAATAAAATTATTCAGGTCATAAGTGCGCCCAGTAAATATATTTTCATGAATGCAATTAACCCAATATACAGTATAATTTGGCTATCTGAAGAAAACATTTGTGCAAGCTTTTGTTTAAAAATGTGATATGAATCGAGTATTATTAATTTTATGAAAGGTTAATATAAGTGAATAATAACGAGTTTTAAACTAACATGCTCAAGCAAGCATAATTAATAGCGTATGTCATGTGTATACTGTAAACAGTTTTAAAGCAGAGTTTGAAATCCCCAGTTTACGTATAAGTATTTAGGAACAGTGTTCGAACGGGTTTCGAAGCACGAACTAACCAGTTTAAGTGGGATCACATCCCTACTTATAAAAGAATTCCTTTAACGTTAAATAAAAAAAATTTTTTTTATAATCTATTCTTATCATAATATCTAGTATGTGCGTACGTACGTACGTATCGGTATGTACTTACTATTCTTATCAAAGAAGTTCACATGCAAAGGTTAAATTTTAAGTGTCTCAATAACTATATGCAATACTGAAAATTATTTTTGTTCTACCGCTACTTGCATTCAGTTATGTAATAGTTTACGCCTTCTGTGTGTTATTTTAAGGGTATTCGCATTATTTTCAAGTATGCGAATGTGTTATTTTGAGATAGGGGCCAACTCCTGAAAGATAATATTTGTATGATTGGCTAATTGACATAGATCCAACATACTATAAACAATCAATCAATCAAAGCGTGCATGTAGGGTCTGAATCGATTCTAAAAATCACAATTGGTGGTCGAATTATATATTATTTTCATGTTGAGATAGCGGGAAATTCTTTTTCTGAAATTTAATTTTTCCGTAGATTATATTTTTCAATTAGTAACGTCTATAACGATAATCTTAGTAATTTTATAATCTGCAGAGGTTACACCTAATTCTGACCCATGACCACCGGCTCGGAATTAGCGCTAGTAATATTAAAATAAAAATTTTAAGTGCTATAAGTTATCGTTTTTTAGATTATATAATAATTTATGCTATTAAATGTTGGTTTTAATTAATTAATCTAATAGAATAATAAATGACAATATGAATGAAAAAAAAGTAATTTTATTAAATTTTTCATATTCTATATCATAGAAACGATCAAAAACGATTACGTATACGGAAATAAAAATCTATTCTTAATTCGATTAACGATTAAAACGATTGTCAGAATCGATTTGCCTACGTGCATATACAGTACGTACGTGCATACCTGCTCAAGCCATAAGCTCTCGAAATTCCCCCAAATCTCAAACATAGTAAAATTGTACCAAATCCCCTATCCCAAACATAATGATATTTGCCCCAAATCCCAAATTCTAATCCCAAACCCCAATAGTTTTCCGGCAAGTATATACATGCATGGGCGTTCGAAACCATGTATGCTTTTTTTGGGAACACAATTTTTTTTTTAATACATAACACCCTAAACATTATATTATCACACATGTTTTGTTTAAACTGTTAATGTGAACTCATATCAACGGCCTGACCAAATTCGTATGGTGCTGATAAAAAATAGTTATATATATACTGTATATCTTTAAACTGTAAAATACATCAACAATTATGACATTATTTTAAAAAACTATTTATCCACTTTATAAAATTATAAAAAGCAAAGTTTTTTTAAAACTGAAACAAACCAATATAGGCAAATAAATATATATATAGAAGGATTTTTTATCAGCACCATACGAATTTGGTCAGGCCGTTGATATGAGTTCACATTAACAGTTTAAACAAAACATGTGTGATAATATAATGTTTAGGGTGTTATGTATTAAAAAAAAAATTGTGTTCCCAAAAAAAGCATACATGGTTTCGAACGCCCATGCATGTATATACTTGCCGGAAAACTATTGGGGTTTGGGATTAGAATTTGGGATTTGGGGCAAATATCATTATGTTTGGGATAGGGGATTTGGTACAATTTTACTATGTTTGAGATTTGGGGGAATTTCGAGAGCTTATGGCTTGAGCAGGTATGCACGTACGTACTGTATATGCACGTAGGCAAATCGATTCTGACAATCGTTTTAATCGTTAATCGAATTAAGAATAGATTTTTATTTCCGTATACGTAATCGTTTTTGATCGTTTCTATGATATAGAATATGAAAAATTTAATAAAATTACTTTTTTTTCATTCATATTGTCATTTATTATTCTATTAGATTAATTAATTAAAACCAACATTTAATAGCATAAATTATTATATAATCTAAAAAACGATAACTTATAGCACTTAAAATTTTTATTTTAATATTACTAGCGCTAATTCCGAGCCGGTGGTCATGGGTCAGAATTAGGTGTAACCTCTGCAGATTATAAAATTACTAAGATTATCGTTATAGACGTTACTAATTGAAAAATATAATCTACGGAAAAATTAAATTTCAGAAAAAGAATTTCCCGCTATCTCAACATGAAAATAATATATAATTCGACCACCAATTGTGATTTTTAGAATCGATTCAGACCCTACATGCACGCTTTGATTGATTGATTGTTTATAGTATGTTGGATCTATGTCAATTAGCCAATCATACAAATATTATCTTTCAGGAGTTGGCCCCTATCTCAAAATAACACATTCGCATACTTGAAAATAATGCGAATACCCTTAAAATAACACACAGAAGGCGTAAACTATTACATAACTGAATGCAAGTAGCGGTAGAACAAAAATAATTTTCAGTATTGCATATAGTTATTGAGACACTTAAAATTTAACCTTTGCATGTGAACTTCTTTGATAAGAATAGTAAGTACATACCGATACGTACGTACGTACGCACATACTAGATATTATGATAAGAATAGATTATAAAAAAAATTTTTTTTATTTAACGTTAAAGGAATTCTTTTATAAGTAGGGATGTGATCCCACTTAAACTGGTTAGTTCGTGCTTCGAAACCCGTTCGAACACTGTTCCTAAATACTTATACGTAAACTGGGGATTTCAAACTCTGCTTTAAAACTGTTTACAGTATACACATGACATACGCTATTAATTATGCTTGCTTGAGCATGTTAGTTTAAAACTCGTTATTATTCACTTATATTAACCTTTCATAAAATTAATAATACTCGATTCATATCACATTTTTAAACAAAAGCTTGCACAAATGTTTTCTTCAGATAGCCAAATTATACTGTATATTGGGTTAATTGCATTCATGAAAATATATTTACTGGGCGCACTTATGACCTGAATAATTTTATTTTATTTTATATTTAATTTACTTTTAAAGTCGTTTAATTTAAGAATGTCATATTTTATTTAATTAACGTTGAAAAATTACATATCACAAAGTTTTCGTTCGTAAGATCAGTTTCTAACTCAGTAATATTCAAAAAATATAAATTATAACAATATTGGAAATCTAAATGATAACAATGGTGAAGCTACTTGCATAATAAAAAAATAATAAAATCTCCAGAAATTCATTGAAGTTAAATTCTGGGCGAAATTCTAACTTTCAACTCTTGACAGATTGTAGTAACTCCAGCATGATATTTTAATGGCCCATTCTTATCCACTAACTCAATGTTATAATTTTTATATACTGATGCCATTAATATGAGCAGTTCAGTCATTGCCAATTTCCTTCCAGGACAAAGTCGTTGACCTCCACCAAACATTAAAGAAAGACGTTTATTTTGACCATCTTGATCATCATAAAACCTATCCGGATCGAAAACTTCTGGATTAGGCCAAACCTTAGGGTTGTGATCTGACCCTAAAAAATTCATATGAAACTGTGTACCAGCAGGCCATTTGAATCCTGCAATTTCACACTCTTCAACAGTGCAGCGCATTATAAAAGTTGTTACTGTTTTCATACGATTAGCTTCTTTAGTTATGGCTTCACAATATTTTAGATTTGCGAGATCATCATATGATATGTAAAATTTATCAGATGATTTAGGAAAGATAGTGTCAATCTCTGAAAGCATTTTTTGTTTTACGTGTGGATATTTACAAAGATAATAGGTTATGATGCAGAATGAGTTTGCAACCTAACATTTAAACAAATAGATGTTAATAAATAAGTAAATAACAAATAGAATTATTAAATATTAATTTTAACATAAACTAATACTTACGACATCTGTTCCTGCCAGGAAAGCATCTAATAAATTACCCCTGATCACTTCATCCGTTATAGGTCCGTCTTCTGTTTTCACATTAGCAATATTTCTCGTAGTATTTGCGGTAATTAATGAAGTTAGCATATCAACTTTCATTTCAGCACCCGCTGGCATTTCTTCAATCTCTTTTCTTCTCTTTTTAATCATCTGATTCAATTTTCCGAATATGTAATCACGATTTTTTAACAAATCGTTTGTTTTATTTCTAATTATTGGAACATAATGTCTAATGAATGAACTAGTGAATTCGAAGAAATAGAAACCCTTTAAATATTTTAAGAGTGCTTTAACGAATTTGTCTCCGTCCTCGATTAGTGCATCAGGATGTTTAGATTTGATCGTGCTTTGCGTGTTATAATAAGATGCAATTGAATAGATACGGTCTCCGGTAACGAGAATTGAAATAATTTCATTAGCGTATCCATAAAACCATGGAGTAAGATTTGTTTCCAACACCCAATTATCATTATTATTTGATGTCTTTTGTTTTCCAAGAGACTGCCAATATCCACTTAGTTCTTCATACAAATTATTTGATGACTTTACCGCTGTTTCCATAAACCTAGGTGCAATTAATGCCTGAGTAAAGAACTGTCTATTAAATTTCCAACTCTCAGGATCTCCATTGAAGGCAATCCCACGTCCGTAGACACCCATTTCATCTAACCCTTCAGAGTATGGAATCTTTTTGAAAAATGTCCCAGGAGCGAACAATTTTTCGATGTCTTCTACCCGTGAAAGAATGATGCATCTATGTTCAAGCATCACTTCACAAATATCTCCATATTTCTGTTGGCATTGTTCATAAAACAAACCTACATTGTAGCCGACGTTATGAATGTTACCAATAAATGGTAAAGGTAACGGACCAGGGAGCGGATTGGGACGAGTAAAATATTTGTAATAAAAGTTAAAGATATAAGTAGCAAGAATTAGGATAAATATGTTGATATAGTTTGTGATACTAATAGATTCGAAAATCTTTTGAATAGCCATTTTTTCTATTGGGTTATATTCGCCTATACGTAAAGTCTTATATTATCGAGAATCAAAATAAATTTCAAAATGATTTCTTTTTTTTTTTTTCTGTTTAGAAACAATAATTTTTTTATCGATCATTTCAATATATACCAATATCTACACACAACAAAAGGAAAAATACGAATGCAGTATATTTTTAACGATACTCAGTTTTATGCGTAGAATATTCAATCTATATATAGGACTACTAAATATTCATAGCGATAAAGATAAGGTTATAGTTTGCACGTTTCCGTATATAGATAAATTATTTATAAAGTATATATATAGTGCGTTAGAGTGAAAACCTGAAGCTGCATATAATGATTTACTATTATAAGTTTCAGGTTGGTGGTAGAATTACTGAATTACGGCAATTACGGCATTTTACCAATGCAGCAATGGTAGAATTAGTTATCGTTATGGCATAGCACCTAATTGCCATAATAACACAATTCGCTATACCATAATGCTATAACACTATAATATTACGTATAATATTATAATTAAGCAACTACGTGACGCAGTTACTCCAAACCAGAAAACTGATGAATATGTTGTTATTTGCCGTTACATACAAGCATTTCATACACATTAAATTAGTCGGTGAACATAAAAGTTATTTACATTCTATTTAAAGTGTAAAAAATTTGTACGACAGAGGTGAAATGAAACTCAATATTTTTATGAATTTAAATACGAGAATGTCACATTATAATGAATATGACAAGATGAAGTAATATACAATACGTATCGATGTTAGATTAGTCGCACAGCCAAATTTTGATCGACTAAAATTTAGCAACTACTCTATAGTGCTATGATTAGAGTTTATTAGCACGAGGATTATTGGCACACCATAAGTAGCATGACACCATGGCATGTCTTTTAAAATTAATACTTTAATATGAAACTGATAAAGCATCAAAATACTATTACTACTGTACTACGTATATATGTCTAAAAATAATAAAGCGAAGAAATTCGTCAGAATCTATATATCCCATTTCGGTAAATAGTGTCAACTCAAAATTATCAATTCATTAAATAAATATTCGGCATTTAATATAATAATCTTTAAATTATTCAACAAATCCGACTTTTAATCAAGTATATCCATGTTTAAAGATTGATAATCTAGAGATCGAATCCAATTCAAGAACCATGAATGGATCAATTATCAATTAATTAAATATAGTTAAGCCAATAGCATGTAAAAATTTTGTTTGAGTGTTGCCAGGTAATAAGCAAGCAGAATTCATATTCATCGTTAAAACTTAGGAAAAAATTGATTGTTAGATAATATCAGGAACGAAGTGCAACGAAGAACATGGTTATATTTAAACGCATCTGATTAGACAATCCATTCTTATAATTTCACCTTGAGATTTCTATATAAAATCGAAGTATTCGATGT